CCCTGCCTGCAAAAATAGTAGACTCGCCCACTTTAAGGGCATTTAAATGGTCATTGGATAAACATATGGATGATAATGGAATAGTTTAGGTTAGATGGGCTTCAGATTGGTTTCACAGGTCGGCGCAACATCGAGGGCCGAAGGGCCTGTACTGCGCTGTAACGTTCTATGTTCTATGTTCTATGTTCTATGTTCTATGTTCTATATATCTGCTGCCCTTGTCCTTCTAGATGGAAGTGGTTGTGAGTTGGAAGGTGCTGTCTGAGGATCTTTGGTGAATTTCTGCAGTGCATCTTGCGAATAGTATACACTGCTGCTACTGAGCGTTGGTGATGGAGGGAGAGGATGCTTGTGGATGTAGTGCCAATCAAGCGGGCTGCTTTGTCCTGGTTGGTGTCAAGTCTCTTGGGGGCTGCACACTTCCAGGCAAGTGGGGAGTATTCCATCACGCTCCTGACTTGTACTTTGTAGATTGAGGACAGGCTTTGGGGAGTCAGGAGGTGAGTTACTCGCCACAGTATTCTTAGCTTCTGACCTGCTGTTACAGACATTGTGTTTATGTGTTGAGTCCAGTTGAGTTGCTGGTCAATGCTGACCCACAAGATGTTGATAGTGAGGAACTCAGTGATAGTAACACTGTTGATTGCTGAAAGATTATCTCTTATTTGTGATGGTGATATCCTGGCATTTGTGTGGCACAAATGTTACTTGCCACTTTTCAGTGCAAGCCTGGATATTGTCCAGGTCTTGTTGCATTTGAACACAGACTGCTTCAGCATCTGAGGAGTCAAAATGTTGCTGAACATTGTGCAATCATCGGCGAGCATCTCCATTTCTGACCTTATGACAGAGGAAAGATTGTTGATGAAGCAGCTGAAGCTGGTTGGGCCAAGGACACTACCCAAAAATTCCTGCTGAGATGTCCTGGAGCTGAGATGACTGACCTCCAACAACCACAACCATCTTCCTACTTGTCTGGTATGACTCTAACCACCAGAGATTTTGCCCCCTGATACCCATTGATTCCAATTTTGCTAGGGCTCCTTGATGCTATACCCAGTCGAATGCAGCCTTTATATCAAAGGCTTTCACTCTCACCTCCCCATTGGAATTCAGCTCTTTTGTTCATGTTTGAAACAAGACTGTAATGAGATCAGGAGCTGAGTGCCCCTGGCGGAACCAAAACTGGGCACCACTGAGCAGGTTATTGCTGAGCAGGTGCTGCTTGATAGCACTGTTGATGATTTCTATCACTTTACTGATGTTTGAGAGACTGATAGGGCAGTAATTGGCCAGGTTGAATTTGTCCCACTTTTTATGTATGGGACATACTTGGGCAATTTTCCACATTGTCGAGTAAATGCCAGTGTTGTAACTGTACTGGAACAGCTTGGCCAGGGGAGCGGCAAGTTCTGGAGCACACATCTCCAGTACTATTGCCGGAATGTTGTCAGGGCCTGTAGCCTTTGCAGTATCCGGTGTCTCCAACCATTTCTTGATATCACGTGGAGTGAATCGAATTGGCTGAAGACTGGTATCTGTAATGCTGGGGACCACTGGAGGAGGCCGAGATGGATCATCAACTCGGCACTTCTGGCTGAAGATTGCTGCAAATGCTTCAGCCTTATCTTTTGCATAGATGTGCTGGGCTCTTCCATCATTGAGGATGGGGATATTTGTGGAGCCTCCTCCTCCAGTGAGTTGTTTAATTTTCCACCACCATTCACAACTGGATGCGGCAGGATTGCAGAACTCAGATCTGATCTGTTGGTTGTGGGATCACTTAGCTCTGTCTATCACTGGCTGCTTTCGCTGTTTGGTGTGCAAGTAGTCCTGTTTGGCGCTTCACCAGGTTTGCACCTCATTTTCAGGTATGTCTGGTGCTGCTTCTGGCATGCCCTCCTGCACTCTCTATTGAACCAGGGTTGATCCCCTGGCTTGATGGTAATGGTTGAGTGGGGGACATGCCGGGCCATGGGGTTACAGATTGTGCTGGAGTACAATTCTGCTGCTGTTGATGGCCCGCTGTGCCTCATGGATGCCCAGTCTTGAATTCCTAGATCTGTGCGAAGCATGGTGACGGTGCCACACAACACAATGGAGGTTGTTCTCAGTGAGAAGATGGGACTTCATCTCCACAAGGACTGTGCAATGGTTACTCTTACTGACGCTGTCATGGACAAATGCAACTGCAGCTGGCCAATTGGTAAGGATGAGGTCAAGTATGTTTTTCCCTCTTGTTGGTTCCCTCACCAAGTGCTGCAGATCCAGTCTAGCAACTATGTCCTTTAGGACCTGACCAGCCTGATCTTTAGTACTGCTGCCAAGCCACTCTTGGTGGTGGACTATGAAGTTCCCCAGCCAGAGTACATTTTGTGCCCTTGCCACCCTGAGTGCTTCCTCCAAGTGTTGTTCAACCTGAAGGAGTACTGATTCATCAGCTGAGGGAGGACGGTATGTGGTAATCAGCAGGAGATGCCCGTGTTTAACCTTCTGCCATGAGACTTCATGGGGTTCACAGTCAATGTTGAGGACTCCCAGGGCAACACCCTCCCGACTGTATTCCACTGTGCCGCCCCCTCTGCCGGGTCTGTCCTGCCAGTGAGTCAGGACATATCCAGTGATGGTGATGGCGGTGTCTGGGACATTGTCTGTAAGGTATGATTCCGTGAGTATGACTATGTCAGGCTGTTACTTGACTAGTCTGTCAGACAGCTCTCCCAATTTTGGCTCTAGCCCCCAGATGTTAGTGAGGAGGACTTTGCAGTGTTGACAGGGCTATTTCTGCTGTTGTCTTTTCCGGTGCCTAGGTCAATGTCAGCTGATCCGTCCGGTTTCATTTCTTCAAGACTTTGTAGCAGTTGGTACAACTGAATGGCTTGCTGGGCCATTTCAGAATTTCAGAAGGTAATTAGGAGTCAACAACATTGCTGTGGGTCTGGAATCATATTTAGACCAGACCAGGTGAGGATGGCAGATTTCCTTCCCTGAAGGCCTTCCCCACCCTTATCTGACTTCTGTAGGGACTGCTCTCTCCTCAACTCCCTCGTCCACACCACAATCCCCACTAGCCCCACCACCCCCGGCACCTTTCCCTGAAACCGCAGAAAGTGCTACATCTACCCCTACACCTCCCTCTTCACCTCCATCCCAGGCCCCAAAAAAACCTTCCACATCAGACAGATGTTCACCTGCACATTCGCTAATGTGGTCTATTGCATCCGCAGCTCCTGATGTAGCCTCCTCTACATTGATGAGACCAGGCGGAGGCTCGGAGATCACTTTGTAGAGCACCTGCGCTCTGTTCGTGACAAACGACAACACCTTCCAGTCGCCAACCACTTCAACTCCCCCTCCCACTCCCTGGATGACATATCCATCCTGGGCCTCCTCCAGTGTCACAATGACGCCACCTAGAAACTGGAGGAGCAGCACCTCACATTCCACCTTGGAAGCCTACAACCCAATGGTCTCAATGTGAACTTTAATAGCTTCAAAATCTCTCCACCCCCAGCCTCATCCCATGACCAACCTTCCCTCTCATCCCCGCCTCCTTGACCTGTCCGTCTTCTCTCCCATCTATCCATTCCTCCCACCTCACTGACCAATCCCCACCACTACTTACCTGCACTCACCTATCACCATCCCACCTACCTTCCCCAGCCCAGCACCCCCCATCTCTCTATTTATTTCAGAGCCCTCTTCCCCTCCCCAGTTTCTGAAGAAGGGTCCCAACGTCAGTTTTCCTGCTCCTCTGATGCTGCCTGGCCTGCTGTGTTCCTCCAGCTCCACACTGTGTTATCTGTGAACCAGATGGGTTTTTCTGACAATCGACAATGATTTCATGGTGATCAGTAGATTCTTAATTCCACCATCTGCTGTGGCGGGATTTGAACTTGGGTCCCCAGAACATTAGCTGAGCTTTTGGATTAATAGTCTAGCAATAATGCCATGTGGCCGTCTCTCATCCGTGGGCAGTGGGACAAACTCCATTTCTTACCCACCCCAACCTACCATCAAACCCAGTGTGGTCTGAAGATCCCACCATTTGAGGAAGTTTCTCCTGAGGCAGATGCAGTGCTCTGGTAAATTTTCTCACTTGAGCTCCAGGAGTGAAAATTGAAGCAGTTACAAAGGTTTTTTTCTCAAAATTCACATTAAAAAGACTTTTTGTATAGACAGAAGTATAGATAGAGTGGATAGCCAGAGACGTTTTCCTAGGGTGGAGGTAGCTATTACGAGGGGGCATAGTTTTAAAGTGATAGGAGGTAGATATCGGGGAGAAGTCAGAGGTAGGTTCTTTACTCAGAGAGTGGTAGGGGCGTGGAATGCATTGCCAGAAAGGGTAGTGGAGTCGACCTCATTAGGGGCATTTAAGTGGCTATTAGATAGGCATATGGATGATAGTATAAGGTACGGGTGGAGGTTAGATAGAACTTAGGTTTAGGGTAAAATTTCGGCACAACATCGTGGGCTGAAGGGCCTGTACTGTGCTGTACAGTTCTATGTTCTATGTTCTATGTTGAGGCTCCCATCGGTTTTGAGGAAACAATGTTCCAGACATCTTCTGGCAGTTGTTACTGGATATCCTTAATAAAGGCTAAAATCACTCTTTGAATAACAATAATTGTATCAAAATCATTTTTAACATTCAACATTAGGAATTATATCATTGCTATGAAGAAATGTTTAAATCGGAGATCTGTGATGACCTTTTTGAAGACCATTTTTGAAGACTCTGGTATTTGGATTTGTACTGTAATTAATTCTGGGCAATTTGAAGACCCAATATTTCACTATGATAAAAACTGCGAAGCCATTTTCTTTACAAGTTTTGCTTTCTATTCGCACCCTTTGAAAATCATTCTTAGATTCTTCAGCAAATTCAGATGACAGCATTGTAATATAATATATGCTTTAGGCACATTTGAAATTAAACAAAAATTAAATGACATTTTAACAGTAAAACGTATTCGTCTGATTTTCAATGAGGATTCTATCAAAATTACTAATATTAATTTTCTGTGAAACAGTAGGTCAAATAACATATGAACATCAGTGAAGACACCTTCACCTCAGGCAATAACAGCAAGGACTTGATGTTTGTCAAAGGCAAGGATTGTTTGCTTGAATTCCAGGGTTTTAAGATTGGGGCGATTTATGTGAAATGTGTTTATTCTGTCAGGTATGAGGAAGACTTTATTGTATGACCTTTAGAGGTTATATAAGTCAAATTTTTGAAAGCACTGTCATTGTAAATCTAAAACAATCATGTTTCAGAAACCAGTAAATGCTATTGCTCAATTGTTTTAAAATGCCAGCTAGGCACAGCAAAAGTGAGAAATGCTGCTATGCCAAGCTGTAGAGCTGTGCATTTGACCTTGACTTCTGTAGTTGTTTTTAAAACTCAGTTCTTCCTTCCCTATCTCAAACACCATTTTCAGCAAAGCTGTTGTCGCCATGCAGTCTCCTTTGGCCTGAAGGAGGAAGGTGTTCGTATGAACTAATTTCCCATAAAACCTGACCATCTTGAAAACGTGATCATTCAAATTCATGATCATAATAAATATCAACTTTCCATTCCGAATAAAATTGAAGTCTTCAGCTGGAATTTTGTGCTGCTACTGGCAATGTGAAGAGAAGTAGATGGGTGTAAGATGCAAAATAGCAGGCTCCCAACAGCAGGATGAAAATAGAGAATGAAGGTTGCGAGAGAACAAGCCATGGGAACCTCTTTTTCATGCATCAGGATGTCCTGTGTATTCATTAAAACAACGTTTTGTCAGATTATTTGGTACCTTTTCAATTCTCTCTGCAGCAAGTTAGAACTACAGGCCTTCAGATTCATAACTGCTTAGAGATGGTATGCAGCAGGCAAGGTAGTCATGATATAATAAAATATTGTGGAAGCTGGAGATACAAAATAAGAACAGAAAGTGCTGGAAAAACTCCACAGGTCTAGCAGAAAGAAACAGAATTAACGTTTTGAGTCCAAACTGCCTGTTCTTCATTCCAAGCAGAACCATTGGTCTCTAAATATTAACTCCATCTCTCTATCCTCAGATGCTGAGGTCATCTTCCTGATGGTTTTGGATTAAGTAGGATCTTCTTTTCTTTCACGTGTTGCTTTGTTGAAAATTGCGAGAGAAGCCATTAATGCATTGGAATTGGTTAAACAATGTGCAAGGGGAGCAGGGCACGGCTGACTGAGGGAGCAAGGATGCAGGGTGATGGCTGCACAAGTGTGACCAGGCATGGCTGACCGAGGGAGGGAGCAATGAGTTGTGGTGGACATATTAGGGCTTAGGGCTTGTCCAGGACAGAAGACAGAAACTGGAATATACAGGAAAGTCAATACCTACAAATGGGTGGTCAAGTATGCCAGTAGGGAGATCCAGGGTTTCAGGTGTATCAGATGGACAATATTGGGGAAGCTCTAGGGTAAACAAAGGCTGAGCATGTGTGATCATGGGTAACTCAAGGGCAACGAAGGCAGGATATGGAAGGTGAAGTGGGGGTCAGGGATAATGCAGGAAAGATCAAGAAGGATGGTTTCAATATCAAGGGTCAATCTGGAAGTGCCTAGCAACATTGCTGTGACAACACTAAGAGTCATCTCTCCAGATCAGAAATGGAGATGTCCATAATGGAGTTGGTAGAGACCAGGGTGTTGATGATGCAAAGAATAGTGTTCCCCATTTGTCAAAAGTTCCCAGGTCAGAAGTGACATCACGAAGATTGTGCTGACCAGATTTTTACCGTCTCTGCAGCTCACTTCAGACGGTTAAGGGCACCCAGAGTCTGCTATCTCTGGCATATCCTGAAGAAATCAGTAGAGGGTGATCTGATGCCAGGCACAACAATACCAGAACACCAAAAAAGAGGATCATGCAGCTCAGGAGGATAACAATTTGGAGCCGGTGAGATGCCAAGCATTAACGTCAAATCGAATGCACCACAGATGGACAGGCAAAGTCAGAGAGGCTGAAGATGTCAAGCCTATTTGCACAACTGCAGGGGCAATGTTTTTGGCCTTACCTGCAGTGGGGGATGGCATCATTGGCAGAGGGGAAGAGGAACAGCAGCACTCTCTTGCTGTGCCCTGAGATGACCCTCTGGTAGCTAGCTGGTGTTGCCCTCATTATTAGCGCCTAATGGCACCTCCGTGATTTCAGGAGGAGGAGGAGCACTTAAGGGAAGTTGTGGTGCTTCATTCCCCTTTTGCCTTTGTAGTCCATGATTAAAGTGATGGAAGACAAGTCTGAGCACATAAGCGACAGTCACAGAGTGTTCTGTTAAACCTGGCTCTCCATCACAATCATTAATTTCTTCATGGAGTAAACTATACCCTCAAATGTTGGAGCCATTGACAGACCTCAGGACTTGTGTGGACTCTTCTACTTTTCTGTCAAGGCTGCAGATGGCCTCTCACATTTCTGCCAGATGGTTCCTGTCCCTGCCCCCGAACCTCCATAAGATTTCTGATGGCTATTTCCAGGGGCAATATCACCTGCACAGAAATGTGAATGGCTTGCTATACAACGTTCGGCAGTCAGAGACTTTGGTTTTCACACCTTCATCAACTGCAAAGATGTGTCTGTTTTACACTCACCAGATTGTGACTTAAAGTCTAATCATGAAACCATGGATGTGAATACATCTGCACTGGTTCAGGGTATGAGGTGATGCTGTGTATAGCCTTGGACTGGACAACTTCATCCTTCCCAGAGGTGGAGTTTAGGCCTGGTGCAGGCTGATTTTATTATTTTTTACGAGTTTAAGTACCTGTAGTGGAGAACACATAGCATCAGCTGATGGTTAAGCATGTTCCCTTTCCCCATCACTACATTACATCTGTATCTTATATGGCCAGTCCTGAACACCAAGCTAGAGACACCATCATGCATGCTGGGCATGGATTAAGACCCCCTTTTGTGTCTGGTAGTTCCCAGTATTTGAAATAATCACACTGTTTGCAAAGATACTGGATCTAACATTAAATACATTTCTCGGATCTCACTGTGAGTGGCAGGATGATACAATGCTGCTCTAATACACTGCTGTAAAACAGTAGTGAGTGATGTGGCATTTCAGATATACGTGCATACATGTACGAAACAATATAATCACCAACTATTTTTGAATAATGTAACAACCTTTCTTTAAAATAATATAATTCTTCTTTTTAATTCATTCATGGGATGTGGGCATCTTGGGCTGGAATGTATTTATTGCCCATCCCTAGTTGCCCTTGAGAAGGAGGTTACGAGCTGCCTTCTTGAACCACTGCAGCCCACATGCTATATATCACTATAAATGTATCAATTTTTAACCATTTTGTAATATAGCAAACACAAATTAACAATTGCAAAGAAGCTTGTATTTTGTCCTATCCATGGGAAAGTGTATACTGTCATTTGTTTTGATTTATTACTGCCACGTGTACCAAGGTACAGTGAAAGGTATTGTCTTACATTCTTTACAGGCAGATCATACTATGCAAGTACATCAGGGTAACAGAACGGAGTGCAGGAAACAATGTTACAGCTGCTGAGAAGGTGCAGTGAGAAATCAACATGAATATTAAAGGGATCCATTCGAAAGTCTGATAACTGCAGGGAAGAAGCTGTTCTTGAATCTGTATGTACATGTATAAAAGCTTTTATATCTTTGCCCGATGGAACAGGGTGGAAGAGGGTATAACCAGGGTCGGAGTGGTCCTTGATTATGTTGGTTGCCTTCCTGATGCAGCGTGAGGTATAGATGAATGGGAAGTAACTGTCTGAGTAAAGAACGTACATCTGATGTCTCCCCTATATCTGCCTCCACTCACTTTAAAACTATGCCCCCTTGTAAGAGCTACCTCCGCCCTAGGAAAAAGGCTGACCACTTGTTTTCTTAGTGCTTACTCACTTAGTACCTACCTGAATGCTTTCAGCATCCTTGTCTTACCATGCCTTTTATCATTTTGCCCCCTCAACCACAGCCAAAAGGTGCAGAGTATTTCTGTCTTAACTTGGCTTTTTGGTACAGACACAATGCCAGAAGCTTGCCATTTTTGCAGCATTGGAGGCTGAGGGGTGACCTTGTAAAGGTTTATAAAATCATGAGGGGTATGGATAGGGTGAATAGCAAAGGTCTTTTTCCTAGGGTAGGGGAGTCCAAAACTAGAGGATATTGGTTTAAGGTGAGAGAGGAAAGATTTAAAAGGGACCCGGGCAACATTTTCATGCAGCGTTGTTTGTATGGAATGAGCTGCCAGGGGAAGTGGTGGAGGTTGGTACAATTACAACATTTAAAAGGCATTTGGATGAACATATAAATAGGACAAGTCTAGAGGGATATTGGCTAAATTCTGGCAAATGGGACTAGATTAATTTAGGATATCTGGTTGGCAAGGACAAGTTGGACTGAAGGGTCTGTTTCCATGCTTTACATATCTATGACAACATGGTTATTAGCAGTTATCAGTCAAGGGGATAGACTTGGTGCTGCATATCACCATGTTGTGTAAATCTCATACCTGTACTGTATGGCAGTACTGTATGTAGCACACTGCATGTGCTTCAAATGGGTGGCACAGCTGTTAGTGCTATTGCAAGTGAGGTATTGAGTGAGTGAATGAATGAGTAAGCAGGCAGCACAAAGACCAAGTAGGTTTGGTTATGTGAGGTAGTTGAGTGGGTAAGAACAAGTGAGGGAAGAAGTTGCATGCACTCGTGAGACTAATAGGTGTGTGAGCCTTGGTAGGAGGTGTTATAGCAGCTGAGATAGAGTGAGTGTGGCTCGGCATTGCTCCAGGCTTCTGGGCATTCTTCCAGTTGACTGAGACTGCAATGAACCTCCATAAAACTCAACAAAAATGACACTTTGCACAAACAATATTGTATTCCTTTGTTTCTGAATGTGGTATTATAAGTGTCAATGGAACTGCCAGTATGCCTGTCAGATCTATCTCTGATGTAGCAGCTAGTTAAATTCTGACTTGTAGTTTGTATTGAATATAATTTGACTGTTAATTCATATTTAAATGATTTTGATTTTTGCTTGCTTATGTTGCATTTCATATTTCCTCTTTTAAATATTCCAACATTTCTCACAGTTTAATATGAGTCTCTAGGAAATCATTCTCTGACTGTGATGCCATATTGAACTTTGTCTGCAGTACACTAAACTGCTGCCTGAACTCAGCATGGTCATTCTTTTCATCTCATGTTCTTCTCTAATTAAAACACATGCTGTGAGGTTTGTACTGAAGGTTGAGGATCTGCCTCCTGGATGTCTCCTCTGCTAACTGCATGCTGTTTCTGTCCCAAATGTTCTTTTTGTCCCATACCACGTTATGTCCTGCTCAGCCGTCAGTATTTCCCACATAGAATTTACTCTCTTGTGCTAGATTTTCATCTTAGAGTGCTGGAAGGCTCTGGAAGTTTTTACTTCCTTGAACTCTCTGAACTGTTTCTCTTTCCTTTTCTGTCAATGATTTGCACTGCTGCTTCACAGCATCAGGGACCTGAGTTTGATTCCACCCTCAGAGTGACTGTCTGTGTAGAGTTTGTACATTCTCCCTGTGTCTGCGTGGGTTTCCTCCAGGTGCTCCAGTTTCCTCCCACGGTCCAAAGATGTGCAGGTTAGGTGGATTGGCCATGCTAAATTGCTCAAGTGTCCAGGGATGTGCGGTCTAGGTGGGTTAGCCATGAGAAATGCAGGGTTACAGGGATAGGGTGGGGAGTGGGTGTGATGCTCTTCAGAGGGTCGGTGTGGACTTGATGGGCCAAATGGCCTGCTTCCACACTGTAGGGATTGTATGATTTATGTGTTTCAGTATAGGATTTGAGGATTTTAATAATTGACTGCAACCCATTCCTTTGACTTCTCAAGTCTTTTCTCAGAGTCCCAGAATTTACCCAATCTGTATGGTCCCTGTTTCATTCAATCAATTACCTTTCTTCCATACCTAGGAGCACTTTTCAATCTTTCCTTTGACCTCTGTTAGTACTTTACATGGGGAAGATTTTGTCTCTAGACCAATAGACATGTGATACTCAACATCTTCAAAGCATCCCAAGAGCTCTCAAAACTCTTTGGATACCTTTACAGAAGATGTTTCTTGCTTCTGATTGGAGGGCAACTTTCAGTGGGTTTTCTGCCTTTAACCCTCAGTGTCGCCTTCTTCATCTCACGGTTTACTGAGATAATGTGCAGCTCTTTCCAACTGCTTAATGCCAGGATAGTAGGACTGTTTCAATCATGTGGAATGTACAATTCCTTTGTCCCTCTGATTTGGATCATTCCTAGCTGTTGAATGTCAGTTGCAATTTATGCCATTAGCATGATGTCATTTGTTGTCTTTCCTTTGCTAAGCATTTTATTCCAGATTTTCGGGGATGATTTTACTGTATATTTTGAGTAGGATGATAATATTTTGCTTGTAAGATATTTTTAAAGCAGAGATAAATTGGCAAGAAAGTCAAAGGATATCAGCGACAGATGAGAATGTGGAATTGGAACACAATCAGATCAGCCATGACATTTTAGAATGGTGGACTGGGCTTGAAGGGCCGAATGGCCTATGTTTGCTCCTAAGTCATATGTTGATATGTTCGTATTTGCTCCAGTTTCAAACTTCCACTTCAAATTTATGGTTGTTGACTTATTTCTCACCTACATGATCTGAATGGTTGAGTAAATTTCTCTGTTTTGGTATATGATGCGTTCAGACATTTTTTAATGCATGAACTTGCATATCATTCTCCATATCTGATGCGCATTATTTTGTTGCTATATCATGACATCAATCATGCTGCTTTTCTCCTGATTTAACTAAAGACTAGCTGTTTGGATCTTCGTTTGTGTATTCATGGCCTTATGTGTTCTGGCATTGTTAATAGAAAGCAATATCGTAAACTGGTCTTTTCCAATTAGAGCTTTTTGTACAGGTTATGCAGAGCTAGTGGGCTAGTTACTCATTTTATATTATGGGTCCCTCCACCTTCAAATACACCAAATGGGTCAGTCTTATAATTGCATATTCAAGAAAGAGATTGATAAAGTTTTAGCTATTGAAGACATCAAAGTATATGGAGAATAAATGGGAATATAATGTTGAATTTGTTGATCAGCCATTATCATTTTGAATGGTGGAGCAAGCTCATAGAGTCAAATGGCTCCTAGTTTCTATAAGAGGTTTGCTCCCCACAAACTCCACCCACATGAATTGATGCTGGAGGACTAGGAAACAAGCTTGTTTGGGTCTGCTAAGGAGGCCTGAGGAGGAGGCAGAGAGCAGTCAGTTTAAAAGTAGAGGCAGGTGTTGTATTGTTATATTGTTGGAAAATATTTAGGAACCGTATTGTTATGCACATGTATACATGTAAATGCATGCCACATCACTCACCACTGCAGTACAGTCAGTGTTCAAAACAATAACGTATTATTCCACAGTATTTTGTGAGTTCTGAGAAATAGATTTAATGTCAGCCTCAGAATCTATGTGAAACAGTGTTCATTCTTTTAAAAATTTGTGAACATAAAACATTACAATGTGGCAGTAGGTGATTGTGACAAAACAAATTAAGTGATGAATTAGATTAAAAAAAAATTCAAGTCAGTGTCAGAGGAAGAGGAGAAGTCTGAATGAATCAGACAAACATAAAAACGCCAGAACCACAGCAATGAATGTTCAGTTCCAGCTCACGGTGAATTGGGAGGAACTAACATTCTAAAAGACGCAAGTAGAAAGGAAAGGGTCATCTACATGTTTTTGTGGACAGGAGGGAAATGTT